AATACACGTTCCATTCGGATGAGCTTGTGTTTTTGAAATTCCAGGCCCTGAGTATCTAGTTGGAAGAGTGGGAAGAACGAGAACTTGTGCAAAATAAAGATATCATGACAACTGCCAGGAAACTGGGTCTAACCTGTATGACTTGTGTCAAATATATACACTCAAAGAGTGAAGCCTTTCTGATTCATATGTATTCCATGTTCTTGATATACTCACTTGCTTCATTTAGAGGTGCTATGGAAATGCAATTCATGCAGCAATGAAAATCTTTGTTAGCAATTCCATTTTCTTCATGACAGAGAGCACTTTTGCCAGAAGAAGTGGGGAATTGCTACCCCAAACCCGGAATGTAGAAATTAGATTAGGTAAATTGTGGAGATTAGACAGAGCTAAGAGCATGTTGGTTCTCAGTATTTTTTTTTCAGACAGCTAGTGTACCCCTTTACAAAACTAAGATACTCCTGCAGATATTGAAACAGTACACGGTGGTGAGGGTCAGGGATCCCTTGGGGGTGACATCAAGTACCCTTTGGGGATGGGCATCAGGTGCCCTTTAAGATTGTTAACTATGGAGAAGATAGTTCATAAGAGATACATAAATCCCTTGGTACAGCCGAACTTGTCAAGAACTGCTAAATGTTTAGAATTGTTATCAACTTGTCAAGAAGTGCCAAAATGTGTTTTCGTTTTAATGAATGAAAGTGTCTTTTTTCTCAATAGAGTGTAGTCCACAATATAGAATTATAATGGAATTTTATTTTTCTCTCCTATCTGTATGAATACATGTGGGTATTTCAACTCCACGCTGTGCTGTAATGGTCCTTGTTCATGCATATGTGCAAGCTCCGTGCTGTGCTGTAATGGTTACTATCATACATATTTGCAAGTTCCATTATCCACTGTACCAAGTTATTGTTCTTGCAAATGTGCGAATTCTATGCCATACTGTAATGGTTCTTGTTCATGCATATGTGCAAGCTCCATGCTGTATGGCAATTTTTCATCTATGTGCATACATTAAAGTGAGCACTTTCCCTTTTGTTCATCAGCCAGGTAAATAATTATTTATAGAGTCATAGAGCCAAAGAGATATACAGCATGGAAACAGACCCTATGGTCCAACTTGCCCATACTAACCAGGTATCCTTTATAAATTTAGTCCCATTTGCCAGCATTCAGCCCATATCCCTCTAATCCCTTCCTTTTCATATACCCATCCAGATGTCTTTTAAATGTTGTAATCATACCAGCCTCCACCACTTCATCTGTCAGCTCATTCATATGCACTACCCTCTGTGTGAAGAATTTGCCCCTTACGTCCCTTTTATATATTTCCCCTCTCACCTTAAACCTATGCCATCTAGTTTTGGACTCCCCCACCCCGGGCAAAAGACTTTCCTATTCACCCGTCCATGCCCCTCATGATTTAATAAACCTCTATAAAGTCACCCCTCAGCCTCCAAACCTTCAGGGAAAATAGCCCCAGCCTATTCAGTCTCTCCCTACAGCTCAAACCCTCCAACACTGGCAACATCCTCATAAATTTTTTCTGAACCCTTTCAAGTTTCACACATCCTTCCTATAGAAGGGAGACCAGAATTGCATGCAACATTCCAAAAGTGGCCGAACCAATGTTCCGTACAGCTGCAACATGACGTCCCAACTCCTATACTCAATGCATTGACGAATAAAGGCAAGCATACCAAACGCCGCCTTCACTATCCTATCTACATGCAACTCCACTTTCAAGGAACTATGATCCTGCACTGTAAGATTTCTTTGTTCAGGAACACTCCCTAGGACCAGAACTCCAGGTCAACTTGCAAGGTCCTAAAGAAGTGGCTGGTGTTATCTTGGCAGGTAATATGCCAAACACGATGTCTTGTTAACTTTCATATAGTATCATGTAAAATGTGACTACTGCTATTGAAAAACTTCTTAACCTTCTGGTATAAGGATTAAATAGGCATTCACACAGTGATATCAGTAGGTCTGTTGGAACTCCAAAAACATTAGCTCCCGAAGTAAACTAGTGAAGGAGACTGAGCTACTCGCAGACATCTTGTGCTGCATGCTGTGCTTCTGATGGGTTTTCTTTACCTACAAAACCTTGTCTTGAAGGAGTTTTGTGCTAAACTCTCATTCTAATAAAACAGCTCATGGCAAGTTAAATAACTACATACAAGATCCTTACAAAACTGTACAGATAGTTGGGCAGCTTATGCAGAACCACTGGAAGACTTTGGAGGCTGAAAATAATTTCCAGAATAAGAATATGAAATAGTTCAGCAGTTTTAAGTTACTTAGTGAGCTCATATTTCTCATGTTCTCTATCCATAATCCGTAACACTTGGAAGGTCATGTGTGCTGTGATTACGTGGTCTATTATTAGCTGCAGCAATGGATGGAAATTTACCAGCGTCTTTTCCTATTTAAGACAGGACAGCAGTGTACCTTGGAAATCCCAGGATATATAAACTGGGTAAGCAAATATGTAAAACAGAACGAAATACGTGTTTGAACAATTTAGTGTAATGTATTTCTAAAAGAAACGTTTGAATTTGTATTGCGAATAGAATGTTTTTTTTTGTTATAGAGATGCGTGCTTTCAAAATATAATATATGACAAATTAATAATGAGATTAGCATATGAATATTGCAAAATTGTTAGTGTGGAATGAGGCCATTTGGCCCATTGTGATTGCTACTGCTTTCTGAATGAGCAACTCGCCTAATGACATTCCCCAGCTTTACCCTGTAACTCTCTGTTATTTCTTTTCATCTAACTTCTGAAACCCTCAATTCAACTGGTCTCCATCACACACTAAAGCTCCTTGCTCTTGTAGTCTATGCCTCTATTAATATGGCCTAGAATACTATATGCTGTATTAACCCCCCTCCTTCCACCAGTCCAGCCACCTTCGATAACATGCATGTATACATCCAGATCCCTCTGCTATGCACTCTTATTAGAATTGAGCTCTTTAATTTGTGCGGTCTTTCCATGTTGCTCCTGACAGAATGAATCCAGTCACATTTCCAAGCATTGAACTTCATCTGCCACCTGTCTAACCGTTTCAGCAAATTGTATATGTCCTTTTGAAGTTCCACAGTACTCTCCTCAGTACACAAAGCACCCAACTTTTGGATCTGCAGAAAACTTGTGCTCCGTACATCAAAGACAAGGTCCTTGGTATGTAGCGGGAAAAGCAAGGGTCCCAGCCGCTGGAATTTTCTGCCACCAAAAATGGTTAAGGCTGAAATATTGAATGTTTTCAAGAAAGAGTTAGATATGATTCTTGGGGCTAAAGGAATCAGAGAGTATGGGGAGAAAGCAGGAACATGGCACTGAGTTGGATGATCAGCCATAATCATATTGAATTGCAGAGCAGGCTCGAATGTTCTACTCTTGATACTACTTTCTATGTTTGTATGATGCACTGTAGTAAGTGAGCAAGCCTTGTTTAACAGCTTGTTCCCTTTACATGACTTCTATCACCTAGAAGGACATGGGCAGCAGATACATGGGAACACTACCGCCAAGCCATTCACCATCCTGACCTGGAAGTATATCACTATTCGTTCATTGTTCCTGTGTCAAAATCCTGAACTTCCTCCATAATAACACATTGGCTGTTCCTACACGCCAAGGAGACTACAGCAGTTCAAGAAGGCAACTGACCAACAACTTCAGGACAATAAATGCTTGCCCAGTCCATATCAGATGAGTAAATAAAAAAGCCTCCTTTTCAATTTATGATGATAGTTATAAATGTAGACTATCAAATTTTGACTTCTTTCATCTGATTGTTATACCTATACATTTTATGGACTAGAACAGTTTAAAAAAGAAACAAATCTAAATTCAATGCAGCGGTCACCAGACGACAGATTGAAGCACATTTAATGAGACCCATGTGGACTAAATTAAACTGTCTGCACTGAAATTGTCATTTTCATCTAAAGACATTAAAAGCACGCAATTGAGCTGTAGGAAATTCACATCTCCTATTCATTTACAGGTGTATGATAATTTTCTGTAGTAAAATGACGAAAGGATCCAGTAAGCCAGCTTGGAAAAGCAATGACTTTGGAATGTACATTGAATTATATTTCAACAGCTGCTTTTTAACAATGGAGTAGAGAGCAAAGAAAAAGGAATTTATAAACCAGGACTGGAAGACTCTCTTTCTGCCTGTTTCTCTTATCATCTTGTATGTAGAGGAACAGAGGGTAACAGGGCCCAGGTAGGCAGCTATTTTGGCTGATGACTGAGTTTACACACAGACACATAAACTCGGTGAAGTTAGAATCTCAAAGATGTCATAGACCAGAGTGGGATAAGGCAAAGAAAATATCCCGATACAAGACATAAAAGGGAAGTCAGGCAGAAAACAACAGAACTGTCCCTAGCCATTAAAAGGAGCAATCTGAAGGGCGACAGGTGGGAAACTGCCTCTGACATACCGGGGATCTATAATTAATAGTTTTACAATACATAATGTAGCCATTTAGTCCATTGTGTCTGCACCATCCAACAAAGATCGGACCACATCCCATTTTCCAGCTTTTGGCCCATAGCTTGCAGGCTGTGGGAACGCAAGTAAATGTGTAATGCAATGGATGATGTTAGTATGCATGTATTTTAGAAAAGCCTTCAAATAAGTTACCACACTGTAAGATCACAACACGCAGAATCACTGGACCATGAGTAGAATGTATCATACAAGACAAAACAGAAAACACAGATTTTGATTTATACTAAAAGGGAACACATTTTCACGGGGCATTTAGTGCAGTAATATATGCCAGTATTGGAACGGGGCTAAGGGCGCTGTATTGCTGCACTGGGAGAATTGTAAAGAGTCATTCACCAAATGAATGAGAGGTGCAGTGTAGTGTGAGTAGGCGGGCAGGGGTGCGTTTACCGGGGTTTGGCCTGTGTCTCACTCCGCGGCGCTCTATATAAGCACAGGTTTCAGCAGCTGTTTGTTGGTGACATTCAAGGGAGACATTGATGTGTGTTAAGTGTGAGCCCAGCAACCGTCCGGTGAGTTTTGGGGTATTTAATACGGACAATAATAATGCTTTGACCCGGAGAATCGGTTTAGACCAACATCGCTAGCAGAGAGTGAATGTCGAGGATTAATTATTGCGGGAGGTGGCGGAAGAGGCTACCTGTCTCTCTGTTTTTGATTAGTATCAATGTACGGTGCTCGGTTTCTGGTTCTCCAGGTACACGCTGCAGTACTGTGCAGCGCCAGCCGGGTTTGGAACAAGGGTGGTATCATGTTCATCTCTATGATAATCCTTAACAGCTGACCGACCTAAGCAGGCGTTGCTGCCAGTACATTGGTATACGGTGTGCTGAGGAGCATGTATCTGGTTTCAGCAAAAGCCAAAAAAGTAGAAGCTTGGATTGGGACTGCATCTCTGTCAAACTGAGGTAAAGGGATAATCCCTCAGACGAGAGGGAAATAAAAGCACGACTTTTTTTTTCAAAAACAGAAATTGCCGGTGAAACTGTACAGGTCTGGTAGCATCTCTTTGATGAAAGTGAAGTTTTGAATCTGGTTACTGTTTCATACGGAGCAAGCTCATTGCTTGGAGTCATATGCACATAATGTTCGTTCTGTTTGTTGGATACCAGTCATTTCAGTTTAGTTCCACTACCCTCTGTAGGCATTCATTCCTTGGTAGTATCCTAGATCCAACTGTCTTCAGCTGCTTCATCAATGACCTTCTGTCCCATCATAAGGTCAGAAGTGGGGCTATTTACTGATGACTGCACCATTTGTGAGTCTGGATATGATCATAGCTGATCACATCTTGGCCTTGCTCCACTTTCCTGCCTGCTCTCCATAACCCTCCAACCCATTGCTAATAAAATCTGGCATCTCCTTCTTAAACTTAATGTCCCAGCATCCACTTGGGATAGTGAATTTCAGATTTATGACCCTTTGGGAACTTTAATTTTCTCCTCAGTTTTTAAATCTGCTGCTCCTTATCCTGAAACTATAACCCTTTGCTCTAGATTCCCTGGGAAGCACTTGCTGCATGTGTCCCAGTCCTGGGTACTGGAACTGTGCCCAACTTCCCACAGAACAGGAGGAGCATGCTTCTGTGAATTGCATGATATGATCACTAAACTGCACTGTAGCTACTGATGTGCCATATTTGCTTAATTTTTTAGTTATTTTTGTTTTTATTCTATCTGAGATGCTAGGCCAACATTTGTTGTCCATCCCTAATTGCCCAGAGGGCAGTTGAGTTAACCACCACTGTCTGCAGTCTCATGTAGTCAGACCAGGTAAAGATGGCAGCTCCTCCATTCTGAGGAAGGGTAACTGGACCCAAAACGTTAACTCTTGATTTCTCTTCAGATGCTTTCTATGTCTATATTGTCAATCTCTTTAGCATCTTGTAAACTTCAACTAGATTGCTCATCCTTCTAACGTGAATAAGCTTAAACTGCTCAACCTCATAAGACACACCCTCATCTCTGGAATCAATCTAGTGAACCTCCTCTGAACTCCTCCAATACAACTACATCCTTCAAGGGGACCAAAATTGTACACCATACTCCTGTGATCGCACTCATTCATTGTAGTTTCAGCAACATTTTCCCTTTATGCTCTGTTCCTTTGGCAAACAAAGCCAAAATTCTAATTGCCTGTTGTACCTGCTGACATCCTTCATTCATGTGCAGGAGAAGAGACATCTGCTCTGTTATGTGCCATACCAAACATTCTGTATGACCATGTGCAGCAGTTGCACATATTTCCAGTGTGCTGAGAAATTGTTTCTCATCAAACCTTAATGGTGAAGGTTAGGAGCCACTGCCTTAGACTGCAATTTCCAATGACTGCAATTTCCAATCCATGACCAGAAACATCATGAAGGACAAGGACAGCAGGTACTCCTGTTTCTCCTTCAAGCCACTCACCATCCTAACTTTTAAAATATATTGCTGTACCTTCACTGTTGGGTTAAAATCCTGGATCTCCCTTCCTAATGGTATTGTGGGTCTACCTACACCACAGACTGCAAAATTTCAAGAAAGCAGCTCACTATCAACTTGAGAGCAATTAGGAATAGACAATAAATGTTGGCCCAGCCAGTGATGCCCACATCCCATGTACTACAAACAGCAAGAAACTCAATACTGACCCCTGTGGGATGCCACTGAACTTGGGCTTGCAGTTAGAAAAACCCTCCTCAACCATCACCCTGTACTTGTAAGCCAGCAAATTCTGGATCCAAACATTAAGGCTCAGAGCTCCTGGGATCTGAGGAAATTGGACTGAGCCTTGCATGCAGGACCTCGTCGAAAGACTGGCTGAAATTATACTAATCTGTCAAAACTGTTGCCCTCCTCTACACACCAGGTCACTCTTTGGAAAAATTCAGTCAAGATGGTCAGACATGACCTCCCCTTAACAAAACAATGCTGACTGTTCTTGATTTAAACCTTGCCTCTCCTGGTGCAGGTTAATTCTGTCCCACAATTGCTTCCAATAGTTTCACCACCACTCAGGTTAGACTGGACTGTAGTTTCCTACTTTATCCCTTGCTCCTTTCTTGAATAATGGTATCACATTGGCTGTTCTCCAGTGCTCTGGCACCTCTACTGTGGCCAGGGAGGAATTGAAAATAATTATTGCCAGTGCCACTGCTATATTCTTCCTTGCCTCACTCATCAACCTGGATATGTTTCATCTGGGCATGGATATTTCATCTACCCAAGCCTGCGAGACTACTTAACCTCCCATTCCTATGCTAGTTTCTTTAATCATGTCACAGCTCTTTTCCTTTGGTTTTTTGTAGCAAATACTACTTTTTTCCCTGCCTAGGCATGTTTGGCTCCTGTGCGACCCGTCCAGCTTGTACTGGTCCCCTGAAACCCTCCCCTCGTGCCATCTCTACAGCCACATATTCATCTCCTACTGCCACTTCTACTCTGATTAGCACATTGCACTGGTAGCAGCCCTGAGTTGACTACCTTTTTTTTGAGGTCCCACTTTTTAAAATTGCTTCCTAACTCTCTATACTATTTTTTAGGGTACTTTTGTTTTTAAACCTATGTCTTGATATCACTATGTACCAAGACCACTAGCTTTTCGCCTTCCTGTTCCAGAATATTCTGTAGCTGCTCCAAGACAACCATTCTCTCCATGTCTTTGGAGTGAGCAGCTCTCAGTAAATGCTAACCATAGTACGCCCAGCCCCTCCGATGCTCCAGTGTCACCAACTGCTGCTTCAGTTCTGAAACCTGGGCTTCCAGATGATAAAGCTGGAAGCACCTACTGCACATGTTCTTGTTAAGGATAGCAGTTTCCGTCCCTAAAGGATCTTGGTGAACCATATGGGTTTTTCAACAATCTACAATGGTTTCGTGGCCATTGTTTAGACTCTCAATTCCAGCTTTTTCCTAAAATTCAGTTCTGTCATCTGTCATGGTGGGATTTGAATCCTGGTCTTCAGGTTAATGGTTGAGCAAGCATACCACTAGGCCATCATCTCCATAATAAATGCTATTGGATTCATTGCAACTGTACCAGTCAGAGTTTGACCTCCTAATGTAAGTATAGTAAATTAACAACATTTCTGTTCTGCTTCTTTCTCCTGTAGGTTTCTGTGAAGATTTCTGTTTTAGCCCTTTGTTGTGGCCATGTTTCCAGTCTCCCTTGTTTGCCGCCATGGCAGGCTTCTGGCTGATAAAACAATGAAGCTCATGCATTTCCAGCAGAAGCCTCCCCACTCCTGTCCATTATCCACTGTTAGCACTAAAATGAACTGGGCAGCTGTTGAAAAAAGTAAGCGGTTCCCAAATTGGGAAAACTTTGGAATTTGGTTAGATGACCCAGTTATTTTACCACCTAGAATATCAGCTCTTCAATATAAAGAGAAGATAGCCAATGTTGGTTGTGTATGCCAGATTGGAAAGAGAAAGCAAAATGAAGATCGTTTCAGTATAGCTCAACTTCAAAATGGATTATCGTGTTTTGCTGTCTTTGATGGGCATGGAGGGGCTGATGCTGCTGAAATTTGTTCCCAATACATTGGACACTATATTCAGTAAGTGTTTGACTGTTTCTTGGCAATGTTTAGATTTTTATGGTTTTGTCCTTGTTGCGTTGATGTCTCTTTTTATTCAAAGACAAAATCTAAAAATAGAAGCAGATTTGGAAAACGTCTTGCTACGTTCGTTTCTACAAATTGATAGTGACTTCATACAAAACACTTACGGTTTGAAGGAAGGTGAGTTGCAATCATCTCCCACTTGGGGGTGCCATATGTTGCAACAGACAATTAAAATATAAATCATTGTGTTTGGAATGCTGTTAAATTTCTCATGTGAACATTGTTTGCTGGGGGTTTCTGGATCCAAACTTGAGAAATTTGAACTTGGTGTGTTTGCGTGCCTTGTTTGTTTCTTCAGTTGTGTTCTGTTCAATAGCATTTGAGTGATTCCAAATAGAACAATGTCTCACTGTAAAGGAAAATATTCTTCTATTTTAAAAAGTACACAGATTTCCTGTCTGCATGTTTTTGTATCTCTTTCCTTGGTGCTGGTTAGCTGCAAATTTGACTGTTGAATAAAAGAAGCATTTGAGACAATGCCAATTTTAAGGCTTATGATTGAATTATTTCCTCCATTCACCCAGGCAGAAAGCTAACAAAAATGGAGTGGGAAACTTGTCCCCCTGTCTCTTTGCAGACTCAACTGAACCAGTGAATCAAATCCACTGACTAAACTATTTGACCTGTGATCTTTGCAGTATTGTATGCCAATTCTGCATACACAATTTTAGTGACTTATTGAGTAGTATCACTTGGTCAGTCATACAGCATGGAAATAGACCTTTGGTCCAACTAGTCCACAATTATCATGTTCCAAAACTGAACTAGTACCATTTGGCCCATATACCTCAACCCTCCAAAAACGTACTAATGACTTTTTAGAACGGATGATGACCCTCATGTCCTCTTTCTTTGATCAAATCTTTTTTCTCTCTTTTTAAAAAAATATGTCCCCTAGCTTTGAACTCCCCCTACCTTTGGGAAAAGACATTTTGCTATTCACTTCATGATTTATAAACCCATAT